CAACGCCCGGCTATTTTTTGGTTGCAGCCATCATTGTTGTTTGGCGGGTCTGGGCTGGGGATTCGAACCGGCCACCTTAGCTGTACGTGGCTGGCGCCTTAGCGGTTGAGCTATAGGCGCCGAGCCACCCCCTGCTATTTTTAATGGAGACCTGATCTTGCTCTTGCTCAGGCTGGTCACTAACTCCACTTCTCTCGGTCTCCTAGAATGCTAGGATTACAAACTTTAGTCTCCACCCTCAGCTGAAAGAAGTGATTTATAATGCAATTATGTGAGCCATTTGGTGGACATATATATATATGAGATTGAATAGAAAAGGCCCAAGTTCCTATGAAATTGAACACAAGGTCACACATTAAACCCAGCACTATTCCAGCCTCCACTCTGGGGTCAGGACAAAGTTTCCCAATAGTCAATATCGAGTGTTCAGTGTTAGAAGTGCCCTTGAAACAGGTCCCAGCCATTTTCTAGAACAAATGCAACAATCTCTTGGTTATCCTAATGTTAATGAAGTTCACTACTTGTTCTTTTTTTTTTTTTTTTTTTTTGAGACAGAGCCTCAAACTTTCACCCTGAGTAGAATGCTGTAGCATCACAGCTCACAGCAACCTCCAACTCCTGGGTTTAAGCGATTCTCTTCCCTCAGCCTCCCAAGTAGCTGGAACTATAGGCACCTGCCACAATGCCTAGCTATGTTTTTGGTTGTAATTGTCATTATTGTTTGGCAAGCCCAAGCTGGATTCGAACATGCCAGCTCTGGTGTACGTGGCTGGCACCTTAGCCACTTGAGCTATTTATCACCCTCAGTAGAGTGCCATAGTGTCCCACAGCTCACAGCAACTTCCAACTCCTGGGCTCAGGTGATTCTCTTGCCTTAGCCTCCCGAGTAGCTGGGACTACAGGCACCAACCACAATGCCCAGCTATTTTTTTGTTATTGCAGTTTGACCAGGGCCAGGTTTGAACCCGCCACCCTCGGTATATGGGGCTGGCGCCCTACTCACTGAGTCACAGGCACCACCCAATAGCATTGTTATTATTATTTTTTGTAGTTTTTGTTTTGGCCAAGGCTGGGTTTGAACCCGCCACCTCCTGCATATGGGTCTGGTGGCCTACCCTTTTGACCCATAGGCACCACCCCTGATAGCATTATTTTTATTTATTTATTTTTGAGACAGAGCCTCAAGCTATCCCCCTGAGTAGAGTGCCATGGCATCACAGCTCACAGCAACCTCCAACTCCTGGGCTCAAGCGAGTCTCCTGCCTCAGCCTCCCAAGTAGCTGGGACCACAG